CCCCCGGCTTCCCCCTGAGCTCCCCTTGGCAGCCGGGCTGCCCTGCCCCCCTGGCCTGAGAGCCCGGCGCCCCCTCCCTCCTCACCCGGAAGTGTGCCAGCTGCAGGGCGATCTGGATGAAGCTGTCCGGGCTGGTCCGGCACTTCTTGATCAGCCCTTTGCCGAAAGCGCTGAAGCAGAAGCAGCAGAAGTCCACCTCCTCCGCCAGCGCTCGGGCCTCGCCGTACGACGCATCGATGGCCTGGATGCACTGCGGGGAGAGGCACCCTGAGACGGGGGGCAGGAGGGGGGGCATCCATGGGCCCCCAGGGGGGATCCCTCCCTCCCTCTGTGCAAAATTCCCCACCCAAACCCTCACCCGGTGCCCGCAGATGCCATTCCGGTCTTTGTAGGGTGCAGGAAGAAGCCAACAAACCACCATCTGCCTTGCAAAGCATTTATGGTGGGCTTCCCACAACCACAACCTCCCATTTCACCCAGAGAAGCTCTCCGCTGTGCCAGCCTGTGCCAGCTTTCTACAAGGGCGGGATTTGCCCCTTGGACCAGCCCTCCAAGAAAGGGGGGGGCTCTGGCATGGAGGCTTTAACGGGGATCCCTGTACTCAGCAGGAGGCTGGACTGGATGGCCTCAAGTGACCCCCCACATGAGGAGCTTAAAGCTGGGCAGAATCTCTTCCTTGCAATGAGCCCCTCAACAACCTTCAACCCCCCCCTCTCCCCACGGATGTTTTCAGGAGGGAGACTGTTGTGGGGGGGGGGGTCTCCCACTTGCTTCCTAGGCAGAGTAATTCTTGGGAGGGGGCTGTGGTACTAAAGGAAGGATCCACTCTCTTCCCTCTGAGCCCCTTTCAGGCTCCCCACTCGGGACGGCCCCCAGACCCACCTCTTCTGGAAAGTCCCACAGCAAGCGCTGCGGGGGGAGCAGATCGGTGTTGGGCACCCCCTGGCAGTGCCCGCCATTGCAGTAACCCAGCAGGAGCTGGTCTGTCGCCAGCATGAACTGGGCAGGGAGAGGGAGGAAGGAAGGAAGATGAAAGGAAAGAAGATGGAGGGAGGGAAATGAAGGAAGGAACAAAGGAAAAGAAAGGAAGGAAGATGGAGGGAGGGAGGGAGGGAGAGAAAGGGCACCACAGGGTTAGGCACCCTCCTTTGCGTTCCACTCCCCATCCCATCAGCCTCAGCCAGCCTGTCCCCAATGCAGTGCAGTCATGGACAGGCTGTGGCCCTTCCGGGGCCCTCGGCAGAGACCCCCTCCCCAAGGGGACCAAAAGGGCCGCTCACCTCCCAGAGGTGCCCCATGACGGGGGCGTCGGCCCACGAGTGCTCGGCGTTGCCCCCCAGCTTGCCATTCGGATAGACCACCAGCGTGAAGGACTTGTCGAACCACCTGGGGAAGAGAGCCATAGCTGCACCAAAGCCAGCAGGGGCTCCAGGAGGTGGCCCTCCCCGCCTCTACGGGGGCCTTGGGGGCAGGGGAGGAGAGGCACAGAGGCCCCGTGCAGGAAGAGGGTCCGGCTGCCCCCCACCCTCCTCCCTGCGCCCTGCTTGAGCCCCTAAAGGAAATCAGTGGGGCCCAGGATGGAGAGGGAATAGTTTGGTCTAGTGGTTAAAGCACCAGGCGAGAGAGAGACCAACGGTGAGNCCCCACTCACTGGCCCAAAGCCCCCCACTCACTGGCCCAAAGCCCCCCACTCACTGGCCCAAAGCCCCCGCCCGAGGAGACGTAGTCCGGGTAGGCCTCCAGGCTGAACATCCTGATCTGCTGCTGGGGGGTCTGGCTGGTGGAGAGGCGCCAGGGCTCGGACAGCACCTGGGGGGGGGAGAGGAGGGGTCACCCCAGCAAGACCAGCTTCTCTTCCCTCCCAAACCGCAGCCCACAGGGCAGTCACTCGCTCAGGATGGCTCAGCACAGAGCCCCCTAAAGCCTGGGGCCACACGGCCAGGACCCCCGCTCACCTTGTCCAGAAAGGGAGACTTCACACCCAGGTAGCGGGACATCACGTAAAGGCAGAAGAGATGCCGGTCGATCCCGGCCCCCGTCATGGCCAGGCGGTACATCTGCTGGTGCTTCTCGGCCGCTGTCTGGAAGAGCTGCAGGCGGTCCGAGGGCTATGGGGAGCCGGGGGGGGGGGCGGGAGAGAAGGGAGTGGTGCCCAGCCTGAACAGCTGTTTCGCCTCCCCGAGGTGGGCACTTCCAGGCACTGCCAAGGCGCCTCCTGTGCCGGAGGGCTCCCCTTCTTCATCCTGACCCTGCCTCTGTCAGGATTCCACCACAAGCCCCCTCCCCAACTCCCTCCGAGTTACAAAGGAGCTTCCCTTGCTTAGGGGGTCCCATGGGGGCACAATCTCCATGCTCAACCTTTGAGCTCTGAAGTTTCCCGCCTGCTCTGCCCACCCATCCTCGCCCCAGAAGCCCCCCGGAGTTCAATCCTGGCCTCTGCCTGCCCTGCGTGCCCACAGGCTGCCATCCGTGGGACCCGAGAGCCCCTGGAAACACAGCCTTCGCCCCACCCCTTTTGGGGAAAGCCCCCCCCCTCTTCCTGGGGTTGGGCGGGAGGGGCCGTGTGCCCCCCTCCTGAGGCTCTCTGGGGCTTCCGAGGCCCCCCATGAAAGGCAGTGGGGGGCTGCAGCTGGGGCCGGGGGGGGGAGACTCACGCTACAGCTGGGGTCGCTCATGCTGCGCACGAAGGCCGTGGCCTCCCTGGTGCAGGAGCGCACGGTCTCCGTCCGGCCCTCCCGGAAGAGCCGCGTCATGGAGGCCTCGTAGGTGAGGCAGAAGTGGCCCCTGTCCTGCAGGGGGGGGGGGAGGAGAGGGCAGGAGGCGGGTGAGGAGAGCACAGAGCCTTCCCCCTCCCCCCCCCCCCCCCCCCCGGCTTCCCCCTGAGCTCCCCTTGGCAGCCGGGCTGCC